TATTTTTGTATGGTGTTGATAATCAAACTCTGGAATATTGTCTTATATTTTTCTACGACTACGTTCTCCTCTTTTAGTTGAAGTAGCTGCTGGTGACAGTTATAACGTTTCCTTTAAATTTAATATGCCACAATGGATACAGCCAGCTCTAGCATACGGAGGCAAGGGCGTGGATCTTTAGGACAAAAGCTATTTGGCCTTTTGGAAGTTCAAATGGGTGGTATCGAAAAGAATAAGATATAGAGATCTTACTAGGGCGCCATCTACAGCATATAACAGTTACTAATAATCCTTTTCGATACCAGTCTCTGTAGATAAACTCTATCTCCAAATAATAAATAACAGCAATACATATGTTCAAAAATATAATGAACTGAATTAGCAACGTTGTGCAATAATATAAACGCTGGTTCCTTGGTCAAAAGAATAACTAGTTACAGTATCTTACCTTCAGTTAAATGCATTTAACCTTACAGTAATCTCGTTAATACAGTTGTTATAGATTCCACAATGACCCAAGGTTGAATAGAATTGACTCGTTCTCTCCACAGTTGGCAGTCCAGTAGTCCATCCACCTATCATGTGCTCAATTAAGCCAGTAAATGTGTTACCACAAAAATATGCCCCTTCAGGCGATCTTCAAACAAATATAAATTTATTCAGATGATAAATGTGTCTCTCCAATAAATCTATTCGTGCAGCAAGTTGAGTCGTCTCCTTAATAATTATCTGATTCGCAAATGGCTACCCAAGGAATTTTCAGACTCAATTACTTTTACTATCTCCAGTAAATTTTCTTAAATAAATTTATTTAAGTAAATTCATTTATCTAAATTTCTCCATCTGAATTCATTTATTCATCAATAAATCTCTTTATCTGAATTTATTTATTATCCAATAAATCTATTTATCTGGCAGAACTATAGCACAAAAAAAGAGAGAAAAAAAAATTACCTCTCATTCAATATATGTCAACAAAAAATCAAACTCAAATAATTACTCAATATTTCTTGATATTAATTTCCAAAATGCATATTAATATATCTACCTTAAACGTTGGTCGAAACTATGAAGATGTGATTATTTGCAGAAAAATCTTTATAAATAATCGATACGTCGTACTCTGATAAACGCCAGAAACAGAAAGGGAAGAATATAACATTTAATCATTGATTTTTGACGTTACTTCAGATTTCGATCATGGTTGAACATGTATTGCCACCCATTTCATTCCAGTCATGAACGTCAACAGCAAGCTGATCAGTGATCGAGCGCAAGACTATCTTTTCTGGTTTACTGGGTTTATCTCTGAGCGATTATGTCATCTGCCTCAAAATATGAGAAGAAAAATTTGACATTTATTTTGTATTATGACTTTTTTAACCCTGAAATTTATAAATGAAAACACACACACATAACAGCTGGAGATTTTAGTTTTGCAGCACTTATAGAACATTTTCTGAACCGCACAATAAAACACAGCAGGTCTGATCGAGACACTACACTACAAGACTGTCAATAATATAATAATAATCAAAAGTTTCAGATCTTTAGATAGGTTATTTGTTCATTTTCATAAGGTACCACATTGAGTTGTGAAAAACGATTCATACGAGTCCAGTACACCGTTTTCGATCTTTTAATATTAGAACGGTTCACTGTCCATCAATATTTGCCCCAAAAACTCGCCAAATATTAAAGTCATGTTATTGCGTTCAATTCAAACATCGTTCAAAAAACATTGATATTTACTCAGTTTCCCAATAGATGTTAATGCGCATAATTTCTATTATTTATTTTTTCAATACTCCAATCATCATTTGTACAAAAACAAACGTATTATTTTCACCATGCCGTCTGCAACGATTAACTTTTTCTTATCTTTATTGCGTTTTTTATCAACATTAGAAACAAAACAAAATACGGCTCGTTCGGCAAATTTATTAGTGATATCTTGATGACCGATAAGGATGTTCGTAGCTTCATAACATACAGGGAAGTGAGTTCAAAGTTGTATCTCGTAACTGTATTTATGAAAAATGGGATAATGAAATAAATGCCTGAATACTTTATTTTGAAGTGAAATTGACAGATGAAACTTTCAAGATGGCGACTGGGCGCCAACAAAATTAAATGGAAAGGGGGGTCTTGTGACACATCATTTTGAAGCTCCTGACGAATACTTCAGAACCCTAGAATATTAAGTCAATATCTTCAACTACTACAAAATGGCAGAACTTTTAATAATAGCCTGAATACATTGACATTTAACTACATAATATGAGGTTATAACTTTGAGGTCACTTCAGAAAATACTCGAAATGGTTGCCTTGAACTTCTTGACATATAAACAGCCTATCCGATATTTCACGCCAAACATATTCTAACACAGTTAACGTTTATATCTCAACAAATATTTATTATACTCTGCCGTATATCCAATATTGAAGCAGGTTCAGTTACGTATACCTTACTTCAAATAGTCCTATAAAAAAAGTCCAAAGGTGTCAAATCTGGCGAGCGGGCTGGCCATTCTGTAGGACCTCGACGGCCAATCCAACGACCGGACACCGGAAACACTTCACTTTTTGTTTTTTGTTTTTTCACTAACCTCCTTTAATTAGTAGTTACTTGCGAATAGGCGAGTTAATTTTCTTTTCACAAAAAGATCAGAAAATCTTGTATTACCTACTCATTTTTGTTGTGAATGTATACATGGACGAAGTACCGCCAAAATCGATATCTAGAGTCATTTTAAACACGATTTTTTCAAAAAGAAGTGTGTTATGTAGACTTCCAGAATATTTTTCCAGAACTTTTTCATTTGTGTGATATACAGTTTCAAGAGTTTCTTTGAAAAAAAATCTACTTCAATGCAAAACCAATGTAAACTGTTCTATAAGCGAATCAACCAGTGTTTTCGAATAGTCGTAGGTAAAACGGGTATTTGAAGAAAATTTATTTTATGAAAGAAGGTTTCACTATTTCCTACAAATCGTAATAGACAATCAAAAAAGTTATTTCATTAGAAGAACTTTATCCGGTGTGTGGAAAAAATTAGACGGATAACTTAGGTTTCAAAAATGACAGAAATGATGACACCACACTTGTCTCGTCATTCCACTTGGAATCCAGATGCACATCTCCACCTCCACCAGGAGGTTGCATAACCTAATAAGGATCTAGAAGTGATTTTGAATTGGGGTAAAAGTAACCAGTTTCAATTCAATGCCACAAAAACTCAGGCATCGGTTTTCTCCAAAAAGATGAATGTCTCCGGACCGGATATAATAATGGTAGGACAGACAATTCCGCTTTCTGCTTCGATAAGTTCGTTGGTGATTAAAATGGACACCAATAAGGCTTGGCATAATCATGTCGCTGGAATTGCAAAGGCTGCTTCTCAAAAGCTTGAAACACTGTTCCGAACCAGAAAACCGTTCACACCTCAGCAACTTTTGATGCTTTATAAAGCTCAGATCAGACCTTCTTTGGAGTATTGTTCTCATGTATGGAGCTCCACCCCTAAGCATACCCTGAAGTTTCCGGATTCCATCCAGGAAAGAGCCATCCGCCTAATTGAAGACGTGAATATCACGTGCAACGTTGATAGCCTGGAACATCGAAGAAAGGTTGGAAATTTGTCTCTCTTCTATAGATACTTTCACGGGAAGTGTTCAAGTGACTTGGCACATTTGATTCTAGTAAGGTCGGTACATATCAGAAATACGCGACGGACTGTGGCTGCTCATCGTTTTGAGGTTCAACTCAGTAGACCTCGAACTTTGTGGCTCAAGAACTCTTTTATTTGGAGAACTGCGTGTATGTGGAAGAAATTGAAAACGGTTTTTCGAAGAATTTATTCTCGCACAGGCCCCGCTCTTAGAGTGCCTCTGTAGTGCTTGTGTTCTGTTTAAAAACTAGGTATCAAGAAACACTATCTACTCAACTGATCCCATCAAAAACCGGAAGTTTATACTATGTGTATTGATGTTTTCATCAGTAACTTTGAACAAACAAAGGCGAATGGAACTGGAGCTGAACAATCTGAACGTTGCAATATTTCTGATAGTTCTTGGTTCAATATTTTCTCGAAATATGCAATTATCATAACTTTACCGTGGATAATTTCAGTTCGCCGTCTTCACTGATAGCTCAATTATGTACTGATATTCCAGTTTATGAGATATCGAGAGACTTCATATATACACACTGTATTTGCATTATTGAATATACCTGAATTTGTATATAGTAAAGAATGAACTGATCCGTTTTCTGTCTTTTACCGATTAACTTATTCACTACCGTGCACACTGATCTACTTTCTCGTAATCCACCCAGGAAATATTCATCTGATATCTGTACTCATATATAAATAAATATTGGTGTCCTTGATATCATTATTCTAATAACACAAGTTTAAGTAAGCGCATGTTGTTTATTCGTTTTTGAGTTTCACAAGATTCCTGAATAAGGTTAATTGATAAATAGTGCAAGATTTTTGAGGTGACTTATTCAAAAGGTACGTCTTGACATGTTTCCATAAACACATCAGTTTCAACAGAAGGGATAATTTTATCTTATAACATTTTTGTAACATATCTGACTCAAAAATGAAAATTAAAACTATGATTTTATACCAATTTAACAATTTGAACAGGTCCTTTATTTTATTTATTTTTGGTATAATATATACTATAACCATAAACAAAAAAAAAAGCATAGGACATACCTAAGCAATGAATGCTTGTGTCGTAGTGATCCATTCTTCCTTCCGTTTGGATATCTCAATCTACTTTTTATACAGTGCGAGTTTTGAAAAATAATAATTATAATATTGAGTAGATGAATTCGAAATTCATCTTAAGAATTATTTTATATTAATTGGGTTGGTTAGGATAATGGGAAGGAGAAAATAAGAAAGAATAAGTAATAGAAAAGTGTGTATCAATTGAAAATATAATTCAGTGCATTGTTTTCGAGAATAAAACTTTCAATGTTTCGTTTGTAGTTCACCATTTTTGTTATATGTGTTACGGTGTATGATATAAATCATGACACCGTGCATATGTGATGTTTTTCATTTTTGGTAACCAGTGTTTGTCCATCTTTCATTAGGGCACTTTTAGAGCGGTGCCTGTGCGGAAATAGTGATTCACATTGGCTTTGAATCGCTGGAGAATTAATCCATTTGGAAAAACGTTCTCAGGAAGTTTATTCCACATAAACGCCATTCTCCAGATGTGATTTATCATTGTTGTTTTCTTGCAAATAAAGAGCAGGTATTTACAATAATGAATTCCATTTTGACAGAGTTAACTACCTAACATTGATTAAAACGACACAATCTTCAACTATTTTCTTTAGACGCAAATGATAAATTGAACTATAACTCATTTGTCTACGAGTTTTCTCAGACGCTTATCACTATATACATCAAAAACAACTTTGGCGTTGTCATTGTTATTACGTTAATAAATTACTTCTAAATAAAAGTCGTGCATATTGTTTTAACAGTATAAATAATTCTTCAAAAGACTGCCTGATTTCTGAATGATGAAAATGCGTACAAATCTCCAAAAGCTCAGTGTTCGAGCTTGTACTCAAAATTATTCATCCTTTGAAGAAGTCTCCGAAATAAAGCTGGGTGGTGAACAGCATCGAAAGTGTTTTCATTCTCAAGCTGCAAAATTTCATCGGATCAGTTGAAACAGATGTGTTGCAATAAGATCAACTTGATCTGGTTGAAACACTGGCTAAAACAGACAGTTATTTTATTCTGCTTCATTTTGTGAGTGCTTCAAGATGTTCCAACATGTGATATTATGTAAGTAACATTTTCAAAATTTACTCTATCTGAAAGAAAAAAACAATGTAGATTAGCAACACTAATCTACATTGATAAGAGGAAAATACATTTTTCATAATATAAAATGAAAATGAATAGATCTGAAATTAACATAATAAAGGGAAGAATGGAAGGTTAACTTTTGAAAGTTTTATTTAATGAATGGAATCAGTTTTCTTGAAAACGTAAAATATCGAAGAAATGTTATGTTTTGTACAAAAATGTGGTAATTAAAGAAAATCCCGCAACATTGAAAAAATGTATCAGTATTATTAACGAAAGTGAGTTTCTCAAATAGTCATGTTTTTACTTGTGTCGTCGTATCTCTAAAAGTTGACCGAAGCAATAAATTTTGACTTCGTGATTCGTAAAATTAACGATGTCTCGATTCAATTCGTCTTCTATCAATGATTTTGTATCGGTATAGATTTTTCAAGTCATCTGTAGGTTCACAGTTATCTAAATTGGTGAATTAAATTTTTTATTTTTGCAAACGACAACTAGTGTGTGTGTGTGATTATAGTATTAGTGACCGGTCTGAAAGTGTAATTGTAATAACACTCATTAGTTTGATTACATTTACAAAATTGTTGTAAAATGATTGACGAAGTTTCTCAAATATTTTGATATAACTTTGGTAATAATTCGAACTTAATCATTTCATCAGCACAATTTCTTATTTTATATTTGCTGAAATACATCTCAAGATATTGATGTTCAGTACAGATGATGAAAGAGGATACCTATAAACAAGTTGATTCTTTTTTATTTTGTGATTTCAGAACTTGGATTTCATTTGTGAAATATATCTGATAATAATATTGAAAGTTATTGTTCTGCTTGAAATGGAAATATTTTTTGTAGTTGCAGTCATTTTGAGTGGGAATACCGCGTTCTATTTTGTTGTAATATAATAATTTCGAGTTCAGTGCTACAGGCATAAACAAGACAGAAATCTATACTCATAAATGCAGTAGTAGTAGTACGTAGGTTCGTTTCATGTTGTTGTTGTGAAAGAATAAAGGATTTTTAAATGTTCCAACTGGAGCGTCAGCCGCGGGAAAAATAGGCGCTGTCTTAAATAAAGCTAACTTTTCATCACTGTTTCACCATGCGCCCTTAAATTTCCGATGGAGGAATTTATATTTTAGTATCAGCATTGCACCATTGCTGAGCCAGGGCGGGTCACCAGTACCAAATATAAGAATGAACTTTTAATGAAGGATAGATGAAGAAGTTTACTTCTTCTTCTGGAGAGATGAAGGAATTTTCTTCATCTCCTGAAATTGCCAACTTGATTGGTGAAACGCGCGTCGAGAAGAGTATTCAAGTTCTGATGATTGGAAAAAGGTGCTCGTTTCTGAAGTATAATAATATTCGGAAGAGAACCCACTAAACCAAGGAAACAAAAGGCAGACTTTACTTTTCTGCATGGAGTGTGGCGGCTCATCGTTTTAAGGTTCAACTCTGTACACCTCGAACTTCACTGTTCAAAAACTTTTTCATTTGTAGAACTGTGTTTATGTGGAATAAACTTCCTGAGAACGTTTTTCCAAATTAATTCAATCTCCAGCGATTTAAATTCAACGTGAATTGCTACTTTCGCACAGGCACCGCTCTTAGAGCGCCTTAAGGATACGTTCCATACTGTGAAACCCCTAATAGAAGTAGATAACTTACATAATTTTTCCAAAATTAGAACACACTGTGACTCGTTAAGTCGGTAAGTTACTTGAGACTTAGTTATGATTTTTTTCATCATCTTAGGTACTGTTGAAAACTGTTGAAATACAGAAATACAACAGCAATTTTCAGTTATTTTTTTATCATTGCGTAGTTAGTATATATTGTTAGATTTAAATTATGTTTGCTGGAAAAACTCTTTTAGAAAGTTTTACACTCAAGTAACGTCCCTTCCAAAAGTAATAATTTTACCAAATTGAACCCAGAAAAGGAGGAATCCACTTGACTATTCAGTCCAACGTTTTCTATGAAAATGGGTTTGGAAGATCTGCAAATTTTCTAAATTTTAAACTAAGTTGTTTAAGTATTTATTCAATTATCAGTAGATTAAATGTTCAAAGTGATGAGTATTCACATATTAAATCATTTCCAAAGTCATTTGATAGCAGTCACTGCTAGATATTTTCTCAATAACAAATCAAGGGAAGACAAATCTGATGATCGTAGAGTTATTCAATGCAGATTCTTCTCCACATCTATCGCCGTAGATTTGAAGAAGACGAGAAATCACAATACGAAGGAACCCTGTCCTGTATTTTCCGTTGCTCTGGACTGGAAGAAGGGGCATCATCGAATCGCCTACACGATCACCAGATTTGTCAACTCTTTATTTTTTCAGAGTGTGTAGACTTTCACGGCCGGTGTTTAACATATTGTCCGATGTTTGCAGGTTTTTAATCCTGAATTTTCGTCTACTACTGGTATCTATCTTGCTGCATTGCGCATCAAGGCATTTTTTTGTTATGAAGGTCCGGTATCCATCTCTTATTGATGTTTAAGCTATCATTCCTTCGATTGAAATTATTCTTATATATTTCTATGGCCTCTCTGAATAGTACTCTCTGGTGTTGTCAAGAACTTGTGTGTGTTCATCGCGGCTGCCCTCTGAAGAACCCTGTTGTCTGTTTGGTCATAGCGACAACTTTTTTTATGGTCAGTAAAGCGCGTTTCAACGCTTTTTTCGTGGTTCCAAAGTAGAATGAACCACAACTACATGGTATTCGGTATACTTGAGGGGTACGTAATGGAACCCTGAGGTATTTAGCTGACCTGAGACTATTTTATGGATCCCCGTAACACATGGGCTATCGTCCATGTGTTACGGGGATCCTTCCAATCTGGACCGTCACATAATCAAGTAGGAAGTAATCACCTAAAAAATCAATTTCAATCATTTACAGAACTATTATGGGAGACTATGGAAAAAATTTCACGATTTCTCTTCACTTTATTTGGAAAATTTTAGCTGAACAAAACTTGCATGAAGGTGGAAGTGGCGGCGTCAAAAATGCCAGAAAATAGCATCGCCCATCAATCAAAAATCGTAGAAACCTGGTTTTTTTCTAATACACAGATTCTGGTAAATGTTTTGTTTTAACACTTTGTATAATTACCAGTCTGTTGATTAAAAAATACATGTATGGTTGATTTAAAAAATACTATTTTACGTTACTTCCTACTTTTTTGTATATCACCTTCCACAATCTGAAAAATTAACAAAGCTAAATCAATAAAGAATCTGCTGAAGTGTAATAAAGAGCAAATAAAGGGCAATTGAAAAAAATAAACTGCGTTGACCACTGTCAACGTTTCGAAAAACAATCTTTTTCTGTTATCAAAACCCAAAATTTACTTCAAAACTTTCGCTTCAAAATGTAAATATCTTCAGTTTTTTTGACATACGATAGTCAGTAATAATATTATTCAGTTGTTTATATTACGCAGTAACTTATCGAGGTGAACTTTTCAGTTTCAGATTGTGGTGGGTTGTATACCCAAAACATATATAATGAAGTATTGAGCCCTCCACAAAAAATATCTTTCAAGGAATAGCTATTTTGGTTATTATTAATATTGTTACGTTTTCTCCGTGGGTTGACCAATAACTTACTACACTAAACAATAATCAAACTTAACTTTATTTCACTCTAAATACAACAAACACTTCAACAAAAACTACAAGTACTATTCGAATGACTATCGCCTTACTAGATCGCTTCGCGTACCGCACTGTAACTTCCACTTGACTGTGTCGATATGCTCGTGGCTAGCGTTTATATATCCGAATCGAATGCGCTAGTAAATTTCGCCGAAATTCCATCGAAATCGGTAGCATTATTCTCGCTACATCTAAAGCGGCAGCGAACACCGTACATTCGTATGCTCTTAGCTACGTCACGTATGGTTTATGGCTACCAGCCGGCGTTATTTTCTTTAGGGCATGATTTATACATCAGTAAAATGTTAACTGCCACCATATACACCAAAATAGCACGTTAGTTACCATTATTCATTGTTCAATCATGTGAATGCTTTTACTTTGATGTAGCTTTATAATTTTGTTTTATTTCTTTTAGGATGGCTTGTTGAATAAACTCGTTTAATCTATTTCTTTTTAATTTTTTTCAAGTATGATTTCATCGATATTAATACATAAATATTGCAGGTTGTTTTGGTGCTAGCGTCATGTGGTAATGTATGTAAAGGGTAGGTGGTTTTTATATTTTATGAATGTTCTCTTCTTTGTGGTGTCCTTTATGTTTTTATCAAATTTTCGATGGTTTCGCATTCTCAAATTGTAAATAAATTGGCAGAAAATATTGTAATAGTAAGCCGAATTAACATTCATTACAAACCTTTGTGAAAGTCGTCTGTTCATTTTAAATTCAATTCTTTAACCCAGTATAAGCAAACTATTTTTTAAATACGTGTATTCCCTGAGTTGAGTTAGAAAGAAAATAAGAATATACAATTTTCTAAACTATACAAATTATTGACATACACAAAGAAAAACACTATATCATTTTCAAATACAGTCCTATTCTTGAATTCGTTAATAGTAACTACATCAGTCAATTTGAATTTTGAACCAGTATGGTGTCATTGAGGTATTTTTTTCTATTTTATTGTTTTATCTGAATAACCGTTAAATTTCATAGGTAAATATATACCAGATAATAATTACCAAAGATGAATTCAGTTAAAGTTAACTATTAGGTTGTTTCAGAAGTTTTGTCTGTTTTTATTTATTTTTTATTTTTATAAGTTGGCAATTTTGCCAACGTAATTCTAGTTGATTGATTCCGTCAGCATAAAAGTTGGGTACTCGGGTTTCGATGAAATTGACGAAAGCCGTTTTTGCCTGGTCCAGATTGGCGAAGGTTCTACCGGTATAATTTTTGGACGGTGACTTGTGAAACGTGCGAACGAGCGTTGTCGTGGAGCAGGATCGGACTTCTTCTATTGACCGGTGCCGACTGCTGCTGACGCAATGTTTGGTACATTTCGTCGATTACCTCACAATAGGACTCTGCTATGATGGTTTGGCCCGATTGCAGAAAGTTTTACAGTAAGCATGATATTTTTTGGTGGGTTTTCGCCTTTGGGAAGTGGCTGGGTGGCTATTGTCGTAGATGATCCACTNGAAATATGATTATATTTTGCCATAAGAACTTGTTCATATAATATTTATACAGGATGACAACCAACTTGAATCACTTTTTGCTTTGGAATTTCAAATATGGATCTGTATCTTTTGCAAAATTTTCTATGATTCACCCATAATGGAGTAAGCAAAATGAACATTTCACGATTTTCTCAGAAGATACAGAGAAATATGGACAAGTTCTGGAGTTATCAGTTTCTCACAAATTCGAAAAATCTACCATAAATCTATCCAATTCAGTTTCAAACAGTTTAACTTCAAATTTCTCATCCTGCTGATCCAATGATGGTGATAATCATCGCATTGAAAGAAGACAGCAGTGGCGAACATAGCATCAACAGTTTCAACAACATCAGATCAGTGATATATTCTTCAATCAAAACCTTTGGGCTCAATTAGTTGAAAAATATTGGCAACACCTGTTTCATGAACAGTATGATCACATGTTTATAAAAAACGAGATGTTTACTAGAATATTTAAAAAAGGATGAATATTTACCTTCCATACTAGAAATACTAGTAAGTATTTCCATATTAGTATTTCTAGTATGGAGGGTGCTTTAAACAAAGCTTTCGCAGAAGTTGTCAAGGAATTGTGGTCAGAAAAATCATCTGATAGAGTAGCGAACACAGTATCCTTAAAAAATTGGATTCAGAGTATCTTTTAGAAAGTTCACATGATGACGTTAATAGAATTAATGAGAAATCTAAACCGATCTTAACGGAGATTTAGGAAAAATTGAACGATATGGCTGAGTATATATAACTCTAAGATTGTAGATAATTTCGTTTGTTAATCAAAATCCACGATGAAGTGCATACACAGTGGATACTCATCAGTAACCTTCTATCCTTTTTAGGATTTGTCACTTCCCATACCACAAAGATCTGGCCAATTGAGTTTGTCACAATGCTTGGATTCCTTCACAAGACAGGAAATTGTGGATGAACATAAAAAAACAACGTATACGAGTAACAAGAAAATGCACAAAGTCTCTATCAATCCACAAGTTTTCCCGTATTTCAATAATTCATTTCAAAAGATTCTCTCTAACAGAAATATTTTGAGACAAATTAAATGTTGCCATCGAATTTCCTCCAGATGGATTGAATATGAGCAGTTCTGCAGCAGACAATGTGACTCCTTGTCGTTATGATATAAATGCACTCTCGAATCACGCTGGGTCTACGTACACTTCGTGTACGTGACACGAGTACAACGGTTCACGCATGTCACCAATTTCACCAAAATCGCTTGTGGGTGGAGAGGCATACATCCTCTTTTATGAAAAGGAGGAAACGAGTTCGGCACCTTTGAGATACCTGAGAGGATGTTCCTTTTAGCGTTTCGAAATGTTATCATGAGCAATTTTTGTGTGGCAATGTTAAAACAATATTCAGAAATTGAATTGGCTTCGATATTCAGGTAAATTATTTTTTTATTACGGTCTTTACAATTTCTCGAAAGAAAGCATAATGTACTTACTCTCTTTATGAAGATTAGTAAGTGTGGTTTCACCACATAATACAACCTCCAGAATAGAAACTTCAACATATATGTCCCGCCCCTAATGTAAATCACTATCAAAATATGAGATTTTCTTTGAGAAAAATGACTAGGATTAACTTCGGCCATAAATGAAATCATTTTTCATAATTCAAAATTCATATGAAGTTCCCAACAGAAGTTGCATATTCCAGAAACTAATAATGAATAATCTATCATATTGTTTCTTTAGAATTATGCTCAAAAATTCTCAGAAACTTCGTACTCTTAACAACTTCAAATTAAGAAAGATTCGCCCATTCATAACGCTGTATCTTCTTTATTTGCAGAAATATTGGAAACTGTTTTCACTTTGCTGCGGAAACTTTCATTGTAATATTCGAATATGGTTATATAATATTCATACTGGGTGTCATTAAGCTTGGGACTCCCTCCACTTTAAAACTTTGAATATGAACCTGTTTTTGGAAGCAATTTTATGCTCGGCAATGTTTATGTACTATCGCAAAGTTTTCTTATATTCCAGAGAGTTTCGATAAATGAATGTAGCACATGTCTTTCTCAGAAAGTTCACCAAGAAACTGACATGTTTTGATATCATAAACCTATAGTTTCCATAGCTTCAGTGAGGTTTTTCCACATCACGTTGAACAACTTCAAGAAGTTATAAAAAATGTACACTTTGATGTCCATGATGGACTCCTATCTGGGAGTTCGTTTACACTACTAAAAATTTCTCAGGAACTCTATACAATCTATAGTGGTTTTATGTGTGTGGTTCAGCGGCAGTTTACATTCAGTTATTGAGGTACTTTATTTTGAAGTTTTTTGAAAACAGGGCCAGTACGTCCCTGATCATTATATTTACCTATCCTCATTCTAGATGAAAATGAAAGAAGTAGCAAATACGGAACATTGTTCTATCGGCGTCAAAATGAATTTTCTGAATTTGTCTTGTTTCTAATTCATTTATCGAATTTATGTCAATATTGTTCGTTTTTTAATTAACATAGGTGAGAAGAAATGTAATGGAAAACTTTATATAAATGTAAAAGAAATGATGAGCATCCGTTTCATCCTGAGAAATTACTGCCTGAAAACATCAAAACACTTTCAATTTTTCGTATAAAAAATGAAACTGAAAATTTTAAGAATGCTTATAACGTTTGTAGATAAAAATTCGTCCGTGTCATCAGACTCAGCAAAAACAAAGTTGGCAGCAATTTTTCAATTTCGGCTGAGTATTTTCAATTCACTCAGTCGACACCATATATATTTTGACGATATCGCTATTCGAAAACTCCAGTTTCTTTTTCCCTCTAAAGCAATTTCCAGTTGTTCGCTCGATAGATGATAGAATCAAACATCAAATTTCCGTTTCATTTTCCCAAACTGGATGGCATAATGCGAATGAGATTGCTTGATCCTAGCGGGAATAATTAGATGAAACATGTCGTGAAACGAGCTATAAAAAGGCATTTGTATTACTTAGTTACTTCGTAGTTGATTTGCTCCTTTACTCCCTAAATTAAATTCCGAATTAAATATTGTACGAAACGTGTTAACGTAATGAAGATGCATTCACCAAAAAATACGAGAAAGAGCTGTACTTTATTGTGTCTTCTAATTTAGTACCCTGGAACTTGAAAAAATATTTCGTTACCATACAACAAGGATGTTAATTGAAACTAGTACAAAAAAAAATCGTGTCATCGATCTTTCGGCCTGCAATGGGTCTCATCAACGGTGCTAGGCTGAATAAAAAATGTATGACTGAACTCCACTGTCTTTAAAGGATAAGCCTTAGTGAGTAAACGCTATGACATCCCCTCTCATGACACGACATCTCGGGGATCGACAGAATACTCAGTCCACGAATCTTGAGAGGGACCGTTGCAAAGCCAAGCTTCAATATGACTGCCGAACGAGATGTGTCCTCTGTTTTTCATTGCAACTAGAGCCCAAAATAACACATTCGTGATCCAACATCAGAGAGCGCTGTTTCGACCTCTCATGAATATCATCAGTAGTGCTAAGCTGGACCACGAATACATGGCTGGACTCAAAGAACAAACTTAAGCTTGAATACAGTGACATTCATCTTCCTTAGTGAGACGCCATACGTGAACCTGTCAAAAAAAAAGGCGAATGTTCAATTTTTGCGGCTATTACATTCGATTAGCGATGTTTTTGATTTTTTTTTGTTGTTACATTCGTCTCGAGCATATGTTCACAGTTTCAGCGGTTTAGTATGTTTAGTTTGTTTGTGAGAGACATAAAAGTTAGACGAGTTTTGCGTGTTCGGCCATTTTCTGCTATCGAAATAAATAGATGAGAGAAGTTGCATCAAATTTTGTGTAAAAAATGATATTAAGTGCTAAAAACATTTGAAATGTTGGCAGTGGCATACGGTGATTGTACTTTGACTCAGAACGTTCGCCTTGGATGACCGAGCACATCAACAACCGATTGAAAGCGAAGAAAGTTGTTATGGAAAATCGTCGACTCACTAGTAGATCACTATGTCGGCAAGTTGGTTGTCTAATGCCATGCAATTTTTGCGAAAATTTTGGGTATGGAGCGTATGTCAGCGAAGTTCATTCCAAAATTGTTGAATTTTGACCCAAAAAAACCGTCGCATGAGCAGTTTTGCAGATTTGCTAAAAAGGGTCATAACTGGTGACAAATCATAGGTATATGGTTATGACATCGAAACCAAAGTTCAAACGTCCCAATGGAAGAGCCCAGGAAGGCAAATACCAAAAAAAGCACGCCAAGCTCCATCAAATGTCAAGGTTTTGCTCATTTGTTTGAAGGTGGTTGACAATGTTTCGTGGTGTATTTCATCAGTTCGGACTTCCATTGTCTAATATAATATAAATTGATTTGAAATCTCTGAAAAAAATTAAAAAGATCATCCGAAAATAACAATTTTATTAAACAAAAACCTAAAATTACAAAAAAATAACATACAAGCAACAACCAAAAAACCAAAGCAACAAAACCAAAACAACCAAAAAAGTAGGGTCTCGTAAGAGACCCCACTGCATCAATTGAAAGGAAGTTGTATCAGACTTTGAAAAAACACCAAGTCTATTTTTCGGAAAAAGAGAGATCATCGCTAACACCACGACACAGTAAGCCCCCTTACTTGTATGAACTACCCAAAATCCACAAAAAGGATGTTCTGCTCAGACCGATTATTAGNATGGTTTGAAACTCTGGCCATTGAAGAAGCCCCGAGTGTGGTTGAGATACGTAGACGACACCTTCATAATATGGAACCATGGGAATGCAGAACTAGACACTTTCCTGAAGCACATCAACAACGTAAGTCCTTCCATCAGTTTCACAATGGAGAGGGAAGTCCACAACGAATTGCCTTTCTCAGACGTATTGATGAAGAGGATCGACACTAAATGGGAAACATCTGTATATCTAAAACCCACTCACACAGGACAGTATCTGAATCAGAAATCCAACCAGCATCAATCGACTAAGAGACGAATCATCAAGACTCTACTAGACCGTGCTTTCGGGCTCTGTAATAATCCACAAAGAGGAACACTGATTTAGGAGAAAATTCAAAGAAGCCGCGTATTTGTTGTACAACAACGCATTTAGTCAAACTAGTGTAGAGATACGTAACATATGGAAACCTCTAATCAAGTGAAAAACGACCAACTCCCGCCAAACGGTCATCTCCCGCTGAAACCAATGAAGCAGTGAAAGGGAAGAAGGGATAGGGGAAAGCACTCGAATGACCTATAATAGTCAGATCTCAGAGGAATAAGTCCAGTTATCACCCTAAGACGATTCTGGATACTAACAATCGAAACGTCGTGACGTAACTTGGATTAGAATCTTTTTTTTAAGTTTTATTTTTCATTTTTTGTTAATAATATTTTTTCATTTTTTTATTTTCAGATTTTATTAATATTTCTATTTTTTATTTTTTTGGTTGTTGCTTGTATGTTATTTCTTTGTAATTTCAGTCTTTTGTTTAATAAAATTGTTATATTTTTTTCAGGGATTTCAAATCAATTTATATTATATTAGACAATGGAAGTCCGAACTGATGTTTTGCTCATTGTTTTCTTCGATTACCGTGGCGTAGTGCATCAGGAGTTCTTGCCACATGGTCGCACTGCCAATAAGGAGTATTATCTTGTGAAAAGTAATACGAAGAAAACGTCCGGTGTTATGAAAAAACAATTGATGACTTTGGCATCACGATAATGTACCTGCTCACTCGTCATTGCTTGTTCATAATTTTTCGGCCAAAAATAACACCGTAATTGTGCCTCAGCAACTGTTTTCTCCAGATTTGCCTCCCTGCGTCTTTTTCCTGTTGAAGAGACTCACAAAAAGACGGCTAGATAGATAGATAGATAAATAGATAGATAGATATTTATTGATTATACACCAATTTACATTGAATTGATAAGTCAAAACAGAACAATTTCAAAATGATAAAATAGTAAAAACACTTTAAAGACATTTTCAAACCAAGCAACACTGAAAGTAGGTAGTACACAGTCCGAAATGAATTCTGAAATACTATAAAATGCCCTAGATAACAGATAATATTTCAATTTTGTTTGAATCTGAACATTATGTAGCATGTTGAAAAAGTATGCCGCAACATATTTTGAATCGCTGAGAGTGCTCAAGGACATAAAAGTGCTTATCAGAACTGTTTCGAGGATTTAAAAAATGCACCTGAGAGGTGCCAGCGTTTCCTTTGAAGGAGACAAAATAGAAATTGATGAATGAATAAAAATTTTTTGATAAAAATGAAAATTCACCTTATTTTCTGAACATACATTCCACGAATATCAAAGATAGACAAGGTTGCACAAGGGGTTCCGTTGCAAGACCAAGCTTCGACAACTGGAACAAACTGGAGCACTGAGCAAAGCGTTCGTGGTCCAACATCATGGTGATGTTCGTGGATTGAGTATCTTATGGATCCCATAGATGGCATCGTCGTAAGGGAAGATGTCATCGCCTTTTTTTGTTATTTTTTTTAATTCGATTAATTGAACACATAGACATCCATAAAATTGTGGATATTAGCCAATTCAGCAAACTTGCTAACTAACCATTCAAAAACGGTTCAGGCGAAGGAGTTCATGAAAAAACGTGTTCATATTTTAATTTCCAAAAATATATGTGTTATTCAGCAAATAAACCTCTATCAGAAAGATTGTAAACGTTCATTATGGATATCTACTATGGACTACTATGAATTCTCTTAGTATTCTGATAATACAGAGATCACCAAAGTAACTACTTCCTTTGACAATATTCCTGGCCAACTTTCGTGTCTGAATTTAATCCAATCGTCATAAATAACTGTTTTAGAAAAAATACAAAAACAAAAGTTCCACGGTCTGATGTAACTGTGTAGAAGCTATTTTCCGAATTCATTGTCCGTGGTCTACAAGTTTTGTGCCATTATGGTTTTATTTATTTTTTAGTTTTCTCCAAATAACCTTATATTATGGAATATAATTTTGGTACAAAGAATGTTTCTAATAGTTATGGACACCACGGGAGAACATAGTTCATACATTAAATGTCGTTTATCGCTAAATAGATTTTTTTTGCAGGTGTGACAGATCCGCATGGCCTGCCGTCGCAGCCAGCACCAGCAGCTCAAACAGCAGCAGCCAAATCACCATGGTGAAGACGTTCCAGGCCTATTTGCCACAATGCCATCGCACCTATTCGTGCATCCACTGCCGGGCGCACCTCGCCAACCACGACGAGCTTATTTCCAAGGTTAGACCCGACATTGTACAGTCTCAAAATACAACATTGCAACCCAATGATTTTTCTCTACCGAACAATACGATACTAACGAAAAGGGAGTTCATTATCCTAAAGACTAATTCCAAAATCAAGTTATATTGTAAAACTATCTAAAACTCATTTACCTACTTGACATAAAATAACAGGTGAAAATTGTCATGAACTTGAGGTAATATAGCGTGCCTTAAGCCACGTTGTGATATATACAAGGTGTCAATTTGAAAACTTCCCACCCTTAATATCTTACTTCAAGTAAATGATATGAGGAATCGAAAAAACAGGTCAATTTTGTTATCAAGGGGGACACTTTCAAGGACTATTTGTAGCCCTCGTGGTTCAACCCCCTAGGAGGGATAGATGTTACCCTTAGAATTTTAAATAGGAAGGGGAGACTTCATTTTGATTGGCGTTCAATTCTACTTCCACCCTGAGTTATTATTTTTTTGTAGAGCATTTTCCAAAAAAATAGCGTTATAACTAACAGTGTTACCGTGCCAACCCTTTATTAGTGGTAACATTAGCCATTTGTTCCAATTAATTTACATCAAAAAGTAGTCTAATAGTAACAATTAGATGGTAGTAAAGTAGTGTTTAATAAATGCTGAATTTTCAATTCTCATCGCAGAAAGTATACTGATAGCCGTCCTACTTGTGCTGTAGAAAGTTTCTGTTTTTAGACAAAACATTGGTTAGGAAATTTGAACGATGTGGTAGTATTGTGCCTACAGTTGTACCTCTTGGGTTGTTTAATGATTACTTTAAAAGTGTATAAAAGTGTGAAAATGTTTACATTCTTCAAGAATGAATTGAAATAATTGTAATTTATGGAGAAGTTGGAAAGTGCGCACGAAGGGCGGCATGTCTTTTTAACGAAAGACATCCAAGTTGTAATATCAGTAACCGGTATGTGACTGATGAATTTTAGTAAGATTTGCTGCAGAGCCCGCGAGTTATTTACGATCAGTATAATAACAGACGGGAATGTCACGCGAGACTGTGATAAAAGCATTGAAAATACATAATTTTCATCCTTATAACATGCATATTCATTAAGAGCTCCACGACGTTGATTATGATAGGAGAATGGAGTTTTGTGAAATCATGTTTCATCGAGCCAATACCATCCCTAATCTTCTGTTAAACATTTGTTTCAGCGATGAGTGTTCATTTTTTCTGAATGGCAATTTTGATAGAAAAAATTGTGGCTTTTTGTGTGACGAAAACCCATATTTTTTTTTTCGGGAAGACCATACACAACAACCACAAACCATTATTTCTGGAAAAAAACATGATTGGCAATATGTACCCTGAAATGCTTGAAAAGACTATAGATCCTATTGTAACTCACGAGCTAGTAACTCAAATTTATGCAGAAGGTAATGAACTTTTGCAGGAGGATCTTTTACATTTCCAGCAGTATGGTACTCCACCATATTTTTCCCATCCGACAGTGGTTGAACGAGAGATTCCCAGATAGATGGATTGGCAGAAGATAAGCAGTTGAATAGCCTCCGAAATCACCGGATTTAACACGATTAGATTTCTTTCTTTGAAGGCATCTTAAATCCGTGGTTTATAAACAGAAACTTCTGATATTGAAGAACTTGAAGGACGACGAATTACAGCAGCATGCCAGTCAATTCCTAGTGAAGTGTTTTGTAATGTTAGAGGAGTTCGGAAACAGACTTTATTACTGATCAGAACAAAGGTTGGAACGGCGCCACCTACTCTTCTTACCATTTTTATTGAAAGGAGGCAATACAATAATGCATCTGAGAACAGGCAAGTTCTAATTACATGTGTAAGTTCAGAACACTATTTTACGCGAACTGCTCATCAAAAAATAAAACATCAGGTACTCCTCCTTGGGAATTGAACCCCGAGGGCTACAAATATTCCTCATATATTATTTACTGGAAGGAAGATATTAAGGGTGGAAAATTTTCAAATTGACACCCTGTATTAAATTTTCAATCCCTTAACATCTCCAAGTGTTATATTTTTCGCACCTGAAAAATAAATCAGAGGCTGCTATGAAAAACAAAATTCTTTAATACGAAAAAATGGCAAATTATTAAAAAAAATGAGAAGAATATTATCCATATTTTTGTTCAAAAAAATTAATCGTATCAGGTTAGCGATACAACTTTATATTATTGAATTTTCAAGAACTTTGAATGTTCTTTGAACAGCGACAAAGGTCCTATTTTCAAGAATAAGGTAGAGTAAATTCTCAGAACTCGAAAGACCTGATGATATATACCAATTTATCAAAATATCTGCCAATGTTTCGTATATAAGATCGCATGGGGGTGCAAGTATAATCCAACCACGAAACAGTTCAACACAGAAAAACTGTGAGCTTGTTGGAATTGAGGGGTAGTTTTAGTGGAAATTGTACCCGTATTTCACCCCAGTGTCGATCAGGGTTCAGACCTGACCACAGTTGTAAGAGTACCCTCCTGAAAGTTGTGGATAATGTGCACAGATCCATTGATAACAAAAACTCTTTGTTCTGATATTATTCGACTATTCTAAGGCGTTCGCTCGCATACACCATGAACTCCTCTTTGCTATTTTGGACTCCTTATGGTTTTCAATGCATGCTGTAGCACTACTCAAAAATTACCTTCGCAACGTTTTCAAAGAGTTGTGTGTAATAACGAAAAATCTGATTTAATACAAATTGAAAACCGTGTTCTTCAAGGTTCAATATTGGGCCCTCTCTTGTTCGTTTTGTACACATCCCAATTTCATAGGTCACTGCAATTTGCAACCGTGCATTTTTATGCCGATGATACTCAGCTTTACATATAATTCGACGAGAATTCAATTAACGAGGCCCTATAGCAAATTAATACCGATCTCGATATGTTATTATCCTTGTCAACTAAATATTGCCAATGTGTTAATGTATCTAAATCTAATGTTAGCTCTTTGGTAGAACAGCGGCGAGAAATCGTTGTTTTGGCCTTATAAATATCGTAATAGATGGAACAGAACTTCCTTTGAAAGGAGTTACAAAAAACTTGGGTCTATGTCTTGACAAGAATCTTCGTTTTTAAACACACATTTTGTAAATTCTGAAACGGGATTATGCAAATTTGAAAATGATATATTCCAACTGAGCATTTCTGAATAAAAAAGTAAAATTATACCCTGCGATGCTTTAGTTCTTTCACATGCCAACTACGCAGACGTGGTGGAATTTTGAAGAGTGACAGTTTTAGAATGCAAAAGCTCCAGAATGCTCATTACGGGTACGAAGAAACGAGAATATATTTCACATCTGTTCGTGGATGTGGGTTGGTTGAATATGGAATCTAGACGAACATTTTATTCTGCATTTTTTTCAAAAACGCCTTATAACAAAAAACCCTCCGAAAAAATATCCTTTACAACTGACATACGCCATCTTTACTTGAGATTCAAGAAACATTCAACAACACCACAACATAAAACTTCTCTATTTCGCGAAACTTCACATACCATATTGCCTACTCATATATTCGGATACCTATTGAATATAAACCTCTGTCAATAGGAAGTTTCGAAAGAAAGATAAAAAAATATCTTCTTACAATAAATAGATTCAACTAATCGAATTATGTCGAAATCAATCAACCGTTCGACAAGCTCAAAAAAATGGCAAGCAAGTTATTACGTTTATAGCGGAATTTGTCTTCAGTACATTGATAGTTTGTTTTCTAGTGAAATCAACTCTAATTATGCTACTATGGGTTAAAAATAATTTATTTTTTTAGAGGAATTATGTGAAAAAAATAGTCAAGTATCACTTGAACTTACGTGGAGAAAAAGTATTAAAATATCTGAATAAACGAACAATTTTGTAACAGACTCTTGAATTTTTATAGATGTTGATATTTTTTCTGATTCGCAGATTCATCAATTAAATAACTTTCCTGACATAAACCACATAGCATAATTAATAAGAACTATTACTGAAAAATTATAGATATTAGATTCAAACCACATAGCAGAATTAATAAGAGCTATTTCTGAAAAATTCTAGATATTAGATTCCATTTTATAGCAAAGCAAACTAATTTCAAAGAAACAAAAAGACAGCTCATTAATAAATTAATTATTTTCGAGGGACAATAAATGTTTACATTTGTTCAAGTAAATATTCATTAAATCGAATATAAAACCTATTATTATTTTACTGTATCGTTAAAAATTAAATAAAAGTAATATGGCCTTAATATGATTTCTATTAACATATCCATTACTATTCATACGATTCTATATTTGTATTTGAACTTAATGTAAGTACGGATCTGCCTTCGACGCCAATACCCTTTACCGCACTTCAGGCTTTACTTGCACGCGCCTTACTTAAGCAGATTCCATTGGTTTCTACGTCCATGTGTCTCACTAACTTGGCGTCAAGTTAGCTATACAATTTGTTTACTATTGCATTTTGTAGAACTTTGACTAGACCACTAATTTGCTCTAACTATCCGCTTATTAGTTACGAAAAAAATATTTTATTTTATTTATTCAAAAAAGACATGGTGACTAGACCTCATTAGTTTAATTATTCACTAATTGCGGAAAAGTAGTAGGTGTATTGTGAACAAGTGCGTGAAGTTCAACACTAGTGAGTGATGTACAAAAGGTTTCACATATGCGTTGCACAATATGTATATTTTCATTAAAACCTCAAACATAGTTTACAGTAAAATATCTTAAACTTTTTCATTAGTCAGTGAGTTATGCTTGAAGACAGGCAGTACACAAAACTAAAGAAATGAACTTTAAATGTTCAAGCTCGTCTCGGATATACCTACACAGTAGATTGAATGGACTGACGCCTATCAGAAAACAACTACTCCACTGGCTAATACCACGAACGGCGTTGGATTATATCAGACAGGCGTCAGTGCAGGAATCTTCACAGAAAATTGCCTGCATATGCAATTGGCAATACAACTGAATGAGTCGAC